AAAACAATAAAATCGATAAAAGTAAGGATAATTCTAAAAACTGATGGCGTTATTCGGCTATCAGGGCCCCAAAATGTTTTTGTGACGGATCTTGCTCAAACTCTGTATATGGGGGTTATTTGAGCCGCTGATGACAATATCATAGTCATCGCGTGGCAGCGGGTAAAAATCATAAACCTGCCTGAAACCTTGGCAGGGAATTACCTAAAGTGCTGTTCAAAGATTATCGTGCTCAATCCCCGCGATAAAGGCAGTTCGTGTGGTATAAAAGTTTCCCACGACCGTAATGCTTTCCTTATAGGACCACTGCCGCGCGCGATACATCCTTCGGCGGCTTTTGCCTAAGCAGAAATAGGGGGAGGGAGATTTGCCGCGAGCGTTACACCCTTCGGCGGCTTTTGCCTAAGCAGAAATAGGGGGAGAGAATTTGCCGCGAGCGTTACACCCTTCGGCGGCTTTTGCCTAAGCAAATCAGGGGGAGGGAGATTTGCCGCGTGCGTTACACGTTGGGACGGGTTATTAGGATGGCGCTGGAGACCGCCATGCAAAACGACCCTTTCCCCATTTCATGAATATCTGAGATCTAAATTGGCCCTGTCCATTCAAATCCTGCAACTCACCATAACTTCCACTAATGCGTTATGACAGCGAGAAGTTTCATATTCATAAGCAGTATACTTGTGAACCGTTACGGTAAGGTTTTGAGCAAATCTGGAACTTCGACCCATCTACACCCACCGTAACCCAAGAAAATGCACCATCCTGCGAAATCAACATGATATTCATGCTCAACGCGCTAAATGACCGCCCTAGACGAAGTTTGAAGCAAATCTATGTTTTCGACCCCACACCGTATATAACCACCCTAACTCTATGAAGAGGTCCCAATATGCAGAGAGAGGATGAATTTCGTAATCAGCATGTCGAATAAGTTCTCTGGACCGAACTCCAGCCGAATTCATGATTTTGACTTCTTACCGTACACCTATCGTAATCACATGGGGAGACTTTCTGCGACGAAAGTGTGATATCTGAATCAGCATGTAAGATAACCCTTATACACGAATCTGAGCAAGCTCTACGATAAAAAAATTTTGGGGCCCGGTTAGCCGAATAGCGCCAAACTAATATCGAACTCGTAATCAGCATGCTTGATTACCCCCCTGTGCAAACTCCCAGCCCCGTAGCTCAAACTTTGCAAAAAATCGATAAAATCGATAAAGGTGATCGACAATTCCGAAAACTAATACTGTATTCGGAATCCCCATGCTTGATTACCCCCCTGTGCAAACTCCCAGCCCCGTAGCTCAAACTTTGCAAAAAAATCGATAAAATCGATAAAAGTAATGGATGATGTTGAAAACAAATATTGTATTCGGAATCCCCATGCTCGATTACCCTCCTGTGCAAACTCCCGGCCCCGTAGGTGAACTCTGCAAAAAATAGATAAAAATCGATGAAATCGATATCGATCGATAACGAAAAGTAGCCCATGACACCCGCCGGGGGCCGAAGTGTATGTGTGCCAAGTTTGGTCCGGATCGGTCCAGAAGTGGAATTTTCTATTCGGAACATACGTACACACATACAGACAGACAAACAGACAGACAGACAAACAGACGACAGGCAAACAGACAGACAGGCAAACAGACAGACAGACAGACAAACAGACAGACAGACAAACAGACAGACAGACAAACAGACAGACAGACAAACAGACAGACAGACAAACAGACAGACAGACAAACAGACAGACAGACAAACAGACAGACAGACAAACAGACAAACAGACAAACGGACAGACAGACAAACAGACAGACAGACAAACAGACAGACAGACAAACGGACAGACAGACAAACAGACAGACAGACAAACAGACAGACATATAAGATTCACTTCGAGCGCTGGTACCAAATATGCTATTTCTAGCACGGCGCATCATTCTGAACTGAATTATTGATTTTTGTGCGAATTTGGCGTATCGCTTAACATGAAAGAATGCCTATAATAGAAATGTGCCCGAAAACATTTGCTGCATTATTAAAATAAAAACAGATCAAATCCGTTGTTGTTAATGAAGAATTTAACACGGGGTATTAATGCTTGAATGTAATTATTACACTAATTGCACTAGGTCATTACACTAGGTCAGATGAGCATCCAATTTCAGCACGTAAAAAATCAGTGACGCTTCAAAATGATGTGCTGCAGCTAGAAATAGCATATTCAGCTTCCGAAGCCGATTCCAAATATACGCGTCTCATCTCAAAACAATCTATGAAATGTAGGCCATATCACCATTATCGTTCGTGAGGAACCACGGGATGAGTCTGCGCGCGCCGCATAATAGGAATTTGGCACTCGAGCGCAAAAGTGGAATGCATTCAGATTTGGGCGAATCAACTGACTCTGGTTCTTTTGCTATTTCTTTGTCTATCTCTGCTTTACATTACTACATTAGTTTTCATGTGCATGCGTATTTTATATGTTGCAATGCTTCAAAATAGCATAGCGTGAACCATCACCCAAGAAGCTTTGCGATCGTAGTCAACACTCTCAGATATTGTTGTATTTCTGAGTAATCTCACTTCAGATTCAATATGGAACCCATGGTTCCTCAAGACCGATGGTGGGTGATATGGCCATTCAAAAACTCATTCCAAGGCTAGGCCGCTCGAAAACGTGCGCACGTTGATTTAAGTGCTCAAACTTTTGTTGCTGGCATATGAAGTGGCTAATTCACGCTCAATGAGGAGATGCGAATGTTTTGATCTGTTTTCACAAGTGGCACGTTCTCCAGTCTTCTTATATTTCGAGAGTGAATGATAGCTTCTCTCAATGAATTTTCTGTTTTGGTGCTCCCTCGAACGACGCCCCACCATCCAATGAGCCATTGATGCAAGTAGGCAGAAGGACCGGAAAGGCACAGCGAAAAGCTCAAACGAAGAGAAGAACAGCATGCAGGGACGACTGCGCATGCTTTTGGTGCGATCAGTCGCACAGTCCCAGTCGTACTAATTTCCTACGCATGCGACGCGCGCACGCAGCCTCATCCCTTAAATCCTCGCGACCGATGGTGGGTGATACAGCCTATAACTTCCCTTGTTATGCACTCAAACACTTATCAATCAATCTGCCCCAGTCCACTTAATAGCGACCCGTAAGGTCGCTAGTCAAAATAAATCTCCGAAATTTCTGAAAATCAAATTTTTTTTCATAAACATTTTTTCGAGAGCGGTTCCTGGCAGATTTGTTTCCAAAAAATAAAATTGCCAAGTTTTCTTGTATTCTTGCCAACATATTTTCCACAGCGCTCCCGCTATTAATTCCTCTGCACCATCTCCGGTTGCTATCACGCAAGACTTTGTGGGAATTTCTGGGTCACAGGCCGGCGAGAATTTTAGAAATTATCCAAAACGTTCTTCTGATGGCGTGGCTAAACTCAAGCATACTTCACGCGATTTTAGTCGGCATGATTTGGCATTACTCCAATGTTCATAACTCATCGTAAGCGCAATTTGAAGATACAGAGGGAAAAGCATTATGTTTACATACATGCTAGGCATTTGTATCTGCAAGTGTAAGATCTGGGCCCGTAGTAATCCACCCGACATGCTGGCATAAGACATGACGGCAAGCTCGCGAACCTCACGACAAGCTCATGATTTGGCCGTGAGCTGCAGCTTCCTGATATCACAAGGTAATGTAAGATTGATCGCAAAACCATTGCACTTTGACGGGATAGAACTCTTCCCTGACCAACGAGAGTCAGCACGTTAGGCACTGAACTACACCTGTTCATTACACACCATTCTAGAGAGTGTAATCAAGCTTAACAGTCAACTTGCGTTAACATGTTCGTTCCGTTTTACCTGTGAATGTTAGACTATCAGAGACTAAAACAGGCAATGCTATGCAAGATTGCTGTAAACAGCGGATCGATGGCACTGTTCGTTTGGCTTGGATTACTATGGCTAGGATTACATTTGTCCCATTTAAGGTTAAAGACTTTTCACCTTGAAGCGGCAATAAAAACCCTATCCCACCAGTAGCAGCTCGCAGCGATGCGTACCAATACATCGCCTTCTACATCATACGAATTTGAACTGCAATTAGAACGACTTATGATAGGAGGCAACACAACGTTATATCGCAGCAAGTTGAGATCAAGGCAGCTTACAATATTGGTGACATGAAGAGAGACTTCGAACATGCTGCATGCGTTGAAGAAAAAAAATATGAACCGGTGTGTTAACCTAGTAAATTCGGCAAGTATAAACATACGTTCGGATCCAAGAAATCTCGTCAATTGCTGCACCACTTTTGGCTAGTTAGCAGGAAAGCATGCACGCGCTAAAAATGGCGGTTGCTATCTTGCCCTTGACCCAGCGCCTCTGAAGGCAGTGTTCAGGATCCGGACACATAGGAAGCTCACGTAGGAACTGACTTTAGAAGCCTAACTATGGCAATGTTAAAGAGATAGCGCAGTGATGCCCTCGAGCTAATCGTTCGAGAACCACACTTCGCTACCTATTTGGCGCAGGACTTGCATGCTGTTGCCCCTCAAAGATCCAGCACCCTCTTAATGTGTTCCTGCACAAATGCTGCAAGCCGATGAAAATCGTTCGCTGATACGGTGGTGGGATAGGTAGCTAGAAAGCAAAGGTGACCCTCAAAGCAACAGTGCTTACAAGTTGAATGCGCACAAAAGTGCAGCTACCTTAGCAGAATCTGTTACAAAAGGTACAAATACGCAAAAATGACGGCTGACGGAAAAAAAATTTGCGGACCCAGACAATTCGCGCGAAACGTTCTTTAGAACTGTAGAAGCTGCAGACATTGCCAATCTTTCGGAATTTCCATGTAATCATAGTTGTAATACCATTCGAGTTCATACTTTGTAAGCACATCAACGCGGATGATAAATTAGAAAAAAACGACATCTATAATGACAATACTGTTAGCGAAAGTCTTTGGATCCTCTAGTGCTTCAACGCAGTCATCGATGCTGTGAGCATATTTTCATGCTGAGGCAAAATGTTGGAGCATTCGTCGGACACTAGAATAATTCATGTTCTTCATAGGAACATAGAAGAAAGGTTACATGAAGGGGTACAACTTACCTTCGTGAACATATGGATGCCTCCACAAAGACGCCTCGCACCAAATTTTAATACATTCTGAAAAATTATAAAATAGCGTGAGATACGAGTCAATGCGCTTTCGTCGAGTCGTCGATCAGAAGGACTAGCCGTAGTTTGCGGAACACACAACGCTGAATTGCCAGGAGAACACAGTTTAAACGATATTGTTGTACAGGTGCAAGGGTTTGGCGACGCGGCGCGTGCTCCGCAATCTGCGACCAGTCAGTGCGATTAATAATTCGACCAACCGTCCTCGTGACAACGCACTGGCCCCGTACACTTAGGCCCGTATGCACGTACATCCCCACTGAGGAGAGGAGGAGGGGATGCGTCATACCTCGCTTCCATACGTATCTTTCTTCCTCTTTCTCTATCTTGCTTACTAGCTGGCTTACGCTCCGCCCGGCCCTGTCAAAATGATAAAGATCCCATACCTATCCCTGTGCAGTCTTCCCCACTCCTACATGCCAATTCCCTATCCCCGTATTCTCGAAATCAGCGTGCCCACTCATCCCTCCCCCCCCCCTCTGTGTCAAATCCCGACCCCGTAGCTTAAACGTTGCAGAAAATCGATAAAATCGTTAAAAGTAATGGATGAATCCGAGAACTAATATTGTACTCGTAATCAGCATGCTCGATTACCTCCCTGTGCAAACTCCCAGCCCCGTAGTGAACTCTGCAAAAAAATCGATAAAAATCGATATCGATCGATGCCGAAAAGTAGCCTATGACATCCGCCGGGGCCCGAAGTGTATGTGTGCCAAGTTTGGTCCGGATCGGTTCAGAAATGGAGTTTTCTATTTGGAACATACGTACAGACAGACAGACACAGACATACAGACATACAGACAGACAGGCAGGCGTATAAACAGACATTCAACTTTATATATAAGATGAAGGTTTAGACCCCGGCCAGACTTCGCTCAAAAACGCCCAAAAGTGCTCAAAAACGCCCAAAAGCGCCCAAATTTCTCTAATCTCTCTCATCTCTCCTCACACAAGCAAGCGAAGAGACATCAGAGAAATTTGGGCGCTTTTGAGCAAGGTCTGGCCAGGGCCTTATGTGTAGGTATTAGGGTATGAGAACTTTCATAAGCAAGATAGAGAGGAAGAAGAAAGATACCTAGAGTGGGGAGATATGAAGCATCCTCGCAAGGAATGTACGCAAATACGGGCCTGAGAGTGCACGATACGCAGCCGAAAAGAAGCTAAAGGCAAAAATAAACAAGATGATTGGTACATCCTCACCTGATAAGAATATGAAGTCATAGTCATGGACAATCTCTTTCTTGGCCAGACTGAATATGAAATCGTAAACACTTCTGTGCCAATCAACGAAATCCTAAAGAAAGCAACGCTATGTAACTTAAACATCTAAGATGCGTCGGTGGGCTAACTTTGGGTCCATGGTGGGAAGATCTTCAATATTGGGGCTGCTCCTTACATAGACTGCGATATGTTTGTCGTCGTTTGCCTGTAGTATTTGCAGGATTGGGAGAAACAGTCTAAATCTTATGCTCATCGTGAAAACATACCTTTATAGATGCATGTAAAAGCAGTCGTAAAAACATAATAGCATAAACTCCCCGTAGAAGAAAAAATCGAAAGCTCGATGTCTAGCAAAAGACGAAAATCTAAAAAGACTGTCTCAAACGCAGGATATTGCCTTGAGAAAAGCCTCCAAAGAAAGCAAAAGCAACTATCTAACCTCGATAGAGATGATCTCCCGAAAAAACTGAATAGGCTCCACTTGATAGCCATCGTACTGAGACCTTGAAAACATAGTATTGATATGGGCTTCACCTATAAACATTAGTATTTTAGCGAACTGAAAAATAGGTCCAAAACAAAACAAAACGCTTATTCCTATTAAATCGCAAAATTAAATGATTTTGCACAGATTTCTTTCCGCTATTCCCTGAGATTAAGTCACATGTCGTCGCCAAACTCTAAAACAATAACACAGCCCAGGCAGACTCACGGATTATCTGGAACTTTCAGTCCCGTGATTTTCCACGCTGGAACATTTACTCAACAACTGAAACCCATACATCGACTGAGCTTCCGCAGTTATCGACAGCAAATACTTCGGAAAGTTTGATTTCTGAAGAAATATAAGCTTGAAATAAGATAAACTTGTATGAGTTGGGTTGACGAGTAAAGGATACTAAGTCGCACTGACGACTAGCAAGAAGATGTACACCATATCCTTGCTGAACTCCAGTGCAACTCGGTATCCTTTGCTTGTGAGATATAAGAAACTTACTCACCAAGAGAAGATCCATATCAACATTGTGCCACACAAGCTCTTCCAAGTTTGGCAATGTGCACTGCAGTACCCTTTGCCCACCCTAAATATCATTTCTGATCTCATGTACCTAGGGAATGAACGAAAGCGGTACCGTAATTTCCCCAAGATTTGATTTGATAACTTTATCTTGAGCATGGAACACGGTGTTGCTTAACATAGCAGAATCGAGCAACGGCTCACAGTAAACATAAGGGATGTCCTGAAAGATCCTAACAACTGATGATGGTTTTTGGAGGCCTGTGAGAGCTACTTCAAGTTTCTAAGCTGCCTTCAAAGTTGCCGGTGCCAGAGCCGTGCCAGGATTTCAATCGATTGTACGAGGCGCATCTAACAAAGAAAGGATGGTTAGTCAAAGTGGCGTGTTGATATGAGATGTATATTGCTTTAAGGGGCATGAAACGCTGATTCCACTTCTGTCCTTATCTGCTGCGGGTTTCAGAGCGAGGAGTTATGCAGATCTTTCTGAGCAGGAATTTGAATGCGCAGCTAGAATAAAATTAGTCTTAACATTTTCCTAGAGCTTAAATGTCAGGCTATCCTAAGCAATAAATATTCTCAGAGATTCATTCGCCGCTTCCTCATTTACGGTCTAGAAAGAGATGAGGACTAATTTTAAACAAATCATGGCATTTGAATTCTTGCTCAAATCTTCATAACTCCTCGCACAGAATCCCGCAGCAGATAATGAAGGCAAGTTCGATATTAGTGTTACATGCCCTTCGAAGCAGTAAGCATCTTATTCTAGAAGGCCACTTTGACTAACCACTTAGTGCTAACACAGCGCTGGCATAGCGCTAACCGACACACGGGTGGCTCTCAATGCTGCCTGAACTTCTTACCACCCTGTTTTGCTCTGTGTCAGCCCATTTGCAAAAAAAACTAAGTTGCTGATTCGAGATTGTTCTCAAGACAGTAATCATTTAGAAAAAGTCATACCCATTGGAGTGTAGCATAGAGATCTCGTATCTTCTCGCGCAAAAACAGAGGACATTGTGGAAGTTGATCCTCAGATTAGGTATGGAACCAACCCAAGGCCGAAAGCGTGAAATCGGTTAAAGCGAAGGCCAATCTTCACTTGGGAACAACAAAGAATACATAAACTCTCAGCAAAACAGAAAAAAACGAGAATTAAAAGAAAGATAACAAGAATTTGATGGATTCGATCGAACCTTACCCAGCTTCAGATTGGAGCTCACAATTTTGCTAGGGTTGAAGTCGTCTAACCCGACCACCAGTTCTCACCAGCTTCCGAACATCATCGTAAAAGGCTTTTGCAATATCTCTTCCGTCACCCTCCAGAAACGTGCGCATAAATGGATTCTGTAATTTGTGAGCAACATTATTTTAGTTAAAAAATGGCCAGTACGCTTCCGACACTGCCCTAAAGTGTTCACCCCCCCCCCGCTAAGGACAGCTCGCGTGATCTTCAAGAACTGCATGTGTTACAGGGATATGCAAGTAACTTGCTTTCATTTGTATATAGACAAATGTTATAATCTGCGAAAAATTCAAAATAGCCTGGTTTGAAGCTTTTTTTAACGAAGTGACAACCGCCACGCCTCTCTTCTCAAAATTTCAAAACCGCAGGTTCGTAAAGCAATGTAAAGTTCCTCAAAAACCTTGGAGGGCGTGGTCCCCGCTCCCCCTTCCCTCGACCAAAAAAAGTGTCACTGAACACGAGGATATAGTTTTAGACCGTAAACGTAGGTTCCAACTTCAGAAAGCAATAAACATGGAAGAATCTTCAAAAGAAACTCGCTACAAACTAGCACATACATTGATATAAAAACACGCAAAAACGAAGAACGGAGTTGTGCACAGAAAAACCTATGATCATTGTTTGTCTCAGCAACCAAGCAAAGCTTATCATTCCAGCAATTTTCTATATTTATCATGCGTTTCGGGTCATAAGCATGCCTCGGCTACAAAGAAAAAGTCATAAAAATAAAGAAATTGTCCGAAAAATCCAAAAAATTCCACACAAAATCACAGCGTCATGAACCTGCCTTTATCTCGACGTGGTAGGGGCACGACGAGATGCCGGCAGGTTGCACTCCTCAATACACACGCTATTTTCCTTTCTTTGCTGACATGATAGCGAGATGCCGGCAGGTTGAGGGCGAGATCGCGGCAGAAACTCGACAAAATACCTCACGAAGTTGCCGGCAGGTCAATCTTTTGGGTCCAAAATTTGAATTTCTCGGGATTTTTCGGATTTTTTTCGATCTCCATCTGGTGCCCACCTCTAAGCTGGACCGTCAGACCTGGAGAGTGCCAAACTGATTGCTCTGGGGAAGCTAGAGAGGGCGCTGACAGTTTTCATGACCTGAGGGCGAGATCGCGGCGAGTTGAGGGCAAGACGTGCCGGCAGGTAGGGTAGATTACTACGGGCCCTGAAGACATCTGGCACATAACCAGATGGCGTAGCGACTAAAAATGCGTGAAGTATACTCGTGGCTTAAAGCCACGTCCCACCATTCGTGAAATATTGTACCTGGCCCCTCATATCCAAAAAATTTTAAAAACATTTTAAAAAACATAAAACAATTACATATAATGTAATCATACTATTTTGAAAATATACAAACTTGTAAATATTAAGTGTAGGAATCAGCGCGCGCGAACTCGTAACACATTGCCACTCTTCAGATTTTCAAAAGGTTTTGTGGAAACACGGCTAACCCACAATGACGGTGTAAGCAGTAAGTTTCTACCGTAGTCTTGCAGTAATGATGAGTGGCTATCGGATCGCTCTATACTTACTACTAAGTCGAAATCAGCCTGTAATATAGAATTCAAAGAAAGGTGAAGCTCCTTATACAAGAGAGTTTTTACAGATCAGACTTCGATACAGCTTTTGAAGACATCCTGTATAGCAACATATCAAAACCTGGAGATTTTTTACTGCTATTACATTTGATTAACTTTTATTGAGCACACTTCTTTTAAAATTGCAGATAATATTTGTAACTTGATTTCAAACAAGCTCATAAGTTACTTTAACAAAGATCATCACAAAGGCTTTCAAAAAGATCTACATCGTCATCCCAACCAGGGCTCGGCACAGGTGGCTTACAAGCAAACTGGATATCGTTTTTGGGACAAAAAGCAAAGGGGGTTTCGTTTTTGTGGAGTAAGACACGCAAAATTGGCGGCGTTTTTTTTTAGTCGACGTTTCGTTTTTTGGAGGATTTTTAGGGAATATGGTGGGGGGTCAAAGGGGACTTCGTAAAAATACCCAAAAGTCAAGGGGGAGTTCGTTTTTGCATTTTCATCTAGCCACCTCGTGCCGAGCCCTGATCCCAACAATCGTGATTGTTTTCGATATGATGAAGCACATGACCTAGCTCGTGGAAGAAATCTCGTTCCGACTACTCCTGAAGGCGTTACAAAGCATGATTAGGCAGAAGTTTCCTATTATAAAAAACATCGACGTACTGCCTTGCTGATTGTGATTGCCATTTCAAGCCTATTATCGAGTCTAACCAGCATACATAGTTGCACTTCCTGGCCTTCTTCCATCATGCTGACATCCATTAAATCCCTTAATATTTAGAGACAAACCAAGACCTGACTACTAGTCTTAGATAAGTGCAAGCAATAACCAGTTGATCATACCATACCGTGGGGTACTGCTCAAGCACTGTGTTGGTGCTAACCATTCATGCACTAATTTTGTTGATAGAGAATCTCCTTGCGAGAAGCCATTGACGCTTGCCTATTAATCACTTATGAGCTATGTATTATCACTGTGTAGTCCACACCAACATTACTCATGTTTAATTTGTACGGAGAGCTTTTCTACTGCGAAAACAATGTAGCTCAATGACGCACTTCGATAAAGACTGAACGCTTTGTCTTTAAGACTTTTACGAGCTGATAAAGCAAGTAAGAGTATAGTTTCTGGATACAGCAACGTTATAGAGATTTTGCAAGATTACCTAAACCTTTTGCGCTGGGGCATCAAAGACTAAGTGAGAGGTGTTAAGAGTTCACTGAATAAACTGTCATGATCCGCTTAAGGAACTGCTTAATCAGACAAGTGATCCAAATCAGTGAGTATTTTACAAATTCAGCAGAGAATTTTTAAAAACAAAATAGTCCTCATATACGTTATGCAAAACCTAGAAAAGTCTTGAATACTCAATAATTGGCTTGAAACACGAGTTTTGCACTGAAACCTTTGGCAAATTTTCACAGAAGGTCTGCGTTGCAGTGCAGCCAATTTCAGAAATAATGCAATTTGTATTTCATTACGTGCTTAAGAAAGTTTACTCGAGAAAATCATGGATGCAAACCGAATCTAAAAGTAGATTTTTTTGAAATTTTCCACATTTTTAGCGAATACAATCTAGAAAAACTACAACGAGCGTCTCACTTTTGTAGAGATCACTTTTTAAAAGTATCGGTGCAAACTTTCACTTCACAGAAAGAAGTGTTCTATTAAAGAGTCTTTGATTATCACTTCACGATTAGCTTGCCATAAACGAAAGCATCTGAATCGGGCTTGCAATTCAGCCACCCCATGGTCCTATACGATCAGCGGACAACAATCGAAACCAAGCCTTTTGCTGCTCATGTAGTAGAACGCTTCTTCCCTAGAATTAGTGACAGATTTGTTAATGTATTGCTAAGGAACTCCATTCTTACGCTGCTTTCTGTCCTATCGTTGATCTCGTCACTTGTTTGTCGTTAACGACGGACTAAAGAAGATGATTTGACAAATTCTTTATAGCTCTTTCCTGACGAAGACTCGGTGAGATGGCCCAATATTTATTTCTGCTTAACCTCATTTCCAAAAAAAGTTACAAACACATAGAACTTGATATCCGAAATTTGAAGAAATCCACTGCGTTCCTATGGATATAGTGGAACGTTCTCTAACATATTCAGTTAGTTTTCCAGTTCCAAGTTGTTGTTGTATCCAAGCTGAATGGATTGAAAATTGTCCGTCCCAGCCACCTGATTACTGATTTTTTAGGATTATAAGTTTTCCTGAACGAACATTCACTCACCCAACAACTGCTTAAGTAAATGTCTTACTGTAACATCTGCGACATACTTCTTGTAGATTTTTTGTTTTGAGAATTTGTGACCTTGAAAGGAACAAGCAAGAACATTAGTTGCCTCGACTAGAATATAGAAGCCCTAACAAAAAATCAGTTTGGGCCAAAATCTCCGTCGTCTAGGGAGAATTTACTTTGGTCACAAAAGCATACAGCTGCCGCTGTAATGGGCTTTGATACTGATCCCGCACTAAATTTTGACAATTCAGTAATATTACACATTTTAGTAATATTACTTGACAGCAAACTTAACAGCAGACATACCCGAAACTGATGGTCAGGAGTTGCAATTTCTTCCTTCCTAATAACACCGTAACCAAAACCTGGAATTTACTAGTGCTTTGTTGTAGCGCTATGAATGCCGCAAATTGTACTATTGCCTATAATGTCCAACAATTTCAAAAATTCTATAGGGTAGCTAATTTTTGGTAACTACAGGGTTTAAAAATTTTGTAGCCTTAAGTGCTTCAACTGCAAATTCTAATTCATTTTTTGCTATATCTGTTCGCTAAACCTAGAAACCATCAACAAAGAAAATATCCTTCGCCTTTAGATACCTCAAAGAATTTGGAAGCAAACAAATTTTTTAGCTGCCTTGAAATGGTGGAAGGGTGTGTTTTTTGAGTCGTTTTACTTTTATCAACGCCGAAAAACAGAGACAGCTTTTCGTTTTTACTACAAATAGTCCTAAGTTTACACTTTCTTTATACTAATTACAAAAGTTCCTCAGCAGCTTGCGAACAAAAATTTTTTTATGTACTAGATACTAGATTACAGCGGACAATCGCGCCCCATTGCGGATTTTTTCGGTTTAAAAAATTTTGGAAGTCTTATTTCAACAAACGTCTACAGAACAGCCCTCTGATCTTCATTGCACTAATTTTCAAAAATTTTGCATGCTTGTGAAGCTTTTAAACTATTGGAGTTAAAGGCAGTAGGTCGGCAGAATGAGACCCGTGGCAAAACAAGGTCACAGAGTAGGAGCCCCCATAATGGAACCTATGGGCGTTCGATCTTTCTCTGCCACTTCTAACCCCCGAAATTTCAAGGCGAAAGTAGCGCTCATCTCCTGTCCTCTCTGAATCCGCCCATCCCATGGATGAGTGACTTCCGCGGTCAGAGCGCCAGCCGCAGGCTATAAGCATGAGGTCCCGCAACGACTCTACGTCTTCGCCATGACGGGCTTCGCGTTCACTCGTCCATGGGGTGGGCGGGTTCGGAGAGGACAGGAGATGAGCGCTGCTTTCGCTTTGAAATTTCGGGGGTTAGAAGTGGCAGAGAAAGACCGAACCTTGGCCCATAGGTTCCATTATGGGGGCTCCTACTCTGTGACCTTGTTTTGCCACGGGTCTCATTCTGCCGACCCACTGCCTTTAAGGGATACCTTTTCTTCCATCTAGGAGGCACATCAGGGTAACGAAGTGAGTGCATATCACTCCATAATACAAAGTAGCACTACGCCATTTCCAAACATGAAATGTGAGACTTGCCGGGGAAGTATTAGGTCATTCCGAAAGAAATTTCGCTTTTTCCGAGACGGGCGCCACATTGTGGAACAAAGATTTGGAGTGCGACGTTGGGTAGCATTCAATGCAGCATTTCATCCTCTTTTCAACACATTGATGACCGCTTGACACACCATGTGTAACGTTGGAATGGCTACTGTTTTTGTATCAAACCCAACCCACTCCGGGAGATTTTTTTTCGTGCTGAATCTAGACACAATCTTTACTGTTTTTGCCAGCATTCCAGAGTTATTATAAGTGCACTGTAGGTGAAATTGCGCTTAATTTTATCTAAAAAATGCTAACTGGTCCGTGAAACGCTTTGATCGTCAATGTGTTAATGATTATAATTTCATTGCGTCATATGCAATGAGCTCTTAGTTGATCAAGATTTGCGACCCATGCTCTTTTGGAAGGTCAAGTTCCACAATTTTTTGATTTTTTTATAACAATTCTCCGAAGGATTCCAAGTAGCCGATGTATAGAGCAAACCTTAAGGGAACACTACAACATTTTTTTTCTCATCTTAATTTTCAAAATTCCTGAGATCAATTTTTGATCTTAACAAACTCCATATTTGGTCAACTCAAATCTCATAGAAAGTCAGCAAGCAACTCGGGTGTATTCAATGCAGCTTCTTCTCTTCTTTCTAAAAGATGCTTTTTGTTTCAGATTTGTAGAGTCTTTGGGGATAAAATCATCATGTTTTTGGATGCTCCCCCCCCCCCCCTCCCCCCCGGCTGTCACGGTATTTTCGAAAGCTGTTATTTTGAAGCGGTAAACGGTAAATCTATATTGCTGTGTAAAATCAGTGTTTAACCATAACGCCCTTACAAAAGTTTCAACTTCCGAAGATTAATGGGTTTGATGCAGTCTTAGTAGTTTTAGGGTAGATTCGATAGAGCAGAACAAGCGCTGCAAAATGATCACGCTCCGTTACTTCGAGCGCTATAGCAAAATCAACATTATCAGATGCCTAAGATCGAAGCTACCTGGAAAAACTCAGAATTTTCTAAACTTGATAGAATATCTGGCAAATTGCACTGACAGTGAGTAATATTGTTGCTGATAAATTACTGGCTTGTTTCCTCAATTTTAAGCCATGGAAAAAATCCACTAAATAAATTTTTGGATACCACTACCACTACTATAGTACCACTGTATGTGTTTACTATATAAAGACCATGTTGGAAGTAGGAAAATTCTGGAAGGAAATCCGATTTTTAGGGTAGCTGAAAAATCTTGATGGCTCCAGATTTCACCTGGAAAGAGCTGTGTATATACAGGGTGTTTGAAAAGTTCGTGGCCTAAAGTACTTCCAATTCGAATTTTGACGCGTTTTTTGCTATATGTGTTCTACAAACCTTGAAACCCCTGAATCAACAAAGAAAAATATTTTTTGCCTCAAAATACCCTAAAAAATTTGGAAGTAAACAATTTTTTCAGCTTCCTTGGAGAGTGTGTTATCTGTTTTGTTCTTTTTTTCCAACGCCGGAAAAGGCAAACAGCTTTTGGTTTTTTTACTACAAATAGTCCTAGATTTACACTTTCTTTATATAATAAAAGTTCTACATTAGCATGCTAACAAAGATTTTTTATGCGCTGAATCACAGCAGACAGGCGCGGCACCCTGTTTGCGCTGAAATTTTTTCAGTTTGAAAAAATTTAGAAGTCTTATTTTAACATTTATTTGTAGCACAACTCTCTGGCCTTCGTTGTATTCGTTTTCGAGAAATTTGCACGCTTGCAAAGGTTTTTAAGATAAGATATAAAAATTTCGGTGCTGCACTTTTTGACAAAAAGATCCTGAAAGTGGATCTCTTGGCTTTCGCGGTACGATATTTTTCAAACAAACTTACTTCTACGAAAGTGAGAGCACATTTAAGAAACCTTGAAGAAAGGGCTTTAAGAAGGTATACTAAGTTTTCTGAAAATTATGTTTCCTTTTTTGTAA